ATATATATATATATATAACCATTTAAAATGAAACACTTAAAAGATAGACTTAAATCAGAACCTGTGGCCCTATTTTAGTCACTTACATCATAAAAAGGGTTATATTGCATGCTGGAATGAATTAATATGCCATGTATTAAATATTCATGTATATTGTATTCACAGTAGATTCATGACAGGCCTTGTACAGCCTATAATCTATTTCATTAAGATTTATAAATGAAACTAAATAGAGATGTGTTATAGAGAATACTAGGAGGCATCCTAGACTAAGGGGCAGAACTTGATAATGCTTCTGAAAGTAGAACTTGCTACTGTGAGAAGGTCCAATTAAATCAATCAAATTGGTCATGGTTGTGAGTAATAACTGTGCACTGTCTAAGCCATAGAAAAAGTAGGTCACACTGTCCAAGGCAGGCAGGATGCTATGGCTCCAGTGAAGAAACCCAAAGCACTGTGGCACTGTAGGGATTTGCCAAATCACACCAGACAAATCACACCACTCGGGTCATACAGCTCTGCAGTGGGCTACATAGAATGGCTGAGGAAGTTACTGAAGCCTTGGCTGCACAAAGTGCTTGCAGCATAAGCTAAGAGAGAGCCCCCTGGAACTTCTTAGGATTACCACTTCACTTCTGCTCACTGGTAGAGGCAAAGATTTACTTCTTAGGGTCTGTTTTGTAGCCCACCCAATCTGTGCATAAACCAAGTATATTTGGTTTATCTAAACCCTACTGAAGTCAGTGGGAGCGTTTCCATTAAGACCAAAGGGATCTGAATCAGGCCCAGGGATTTAAGAAAATCCTTGCTCTCAGAAGAGTTTCTATTTGTTGCCTGGACTTGGAAACGGAATAACAGGTTACTATGATGCATTTTATAACTGTTAGTTATAGATATAACCATAGTTATAGTTATAACTGTGGGGGCATGTGCACAAGACGCTTACTATGGACTTGCCCAATTAGCTCTGCGCTAAAGCATCTCCGTCTACAAATGCAGAGATATTAGGCCAAAGTAAACTAATTAACTTTGCCATAGGCTCGTACTGCCCGATACAAGTATTGTCCTGCTGTGGAGTTACTCACTGTGCCGCAATACACATGTAGATGGGGACAGGACTGCATTACCCCAGCTTCTGCATCACCCTAGCTCAATGTGCTGCAGTCCCGGGCGCACATGTAAATTGTGCTGGAGTTTACTGTGTCACAATAATTTCACCGTGTAGATGGACCCAGTTTTGGAGAAAAGATCTCTTGTGGAGCTCACCAGGTTATGTAAGAGCCCACTACTCATTTCTGGTGTCAGATACGCTTGTAGCACTGTAAAGATGGAACTTAAAATGTATCAGGAATCGGGTCATAGGAAGCTTTGGGGATGAACTCTTCTCTCTCTCCAGGATGCAAAAGAGATCCCAAATAAGAACATTTTGAAGACACTTTGTCAGGGTCAAAGGACCATTTGATAGTATAAACAATACAGTAAAGAGCTCCAGAGCCTGGAAGCAAGAGGGGAACATTTTGAAACATGTGATGCAACTGGCTGTGGTAACATCAGTTATACAGTCATAGCCACCAGTCTAAACAGACAAGTATACATCCTGGACTGCCTCAGAAGTATAATTAATGGAGCCAAAGGGGTAGAGCTGCCTTTGCCCCACTACTCGCTGATGTTGGCACTGTTAGGAGAGGCTGAAACAGAAAAAGAAAGTGCCTTGTCCATAGTCACCCACAACATCAATGGCAGAACTAAGGATAGAATCCAGAGCCCCCAGCCCCACTGCCACACTAACCCTGTCAGCAGCATTCTCCCATGTATGTCTTTTGGCTTTATATTACAAAATCATTTCCTTTCAGAATTAGCTGGCCAGTGTACAAGTGAATATATGGAAGTATAATAAAACCTTTTTCTTTCTTGTTTTCACTAAAGGGATCAGAGATGCTCTGTTCACCAGGGCACCTCTTGGGGTAACAAGGAACAATGGTCACAAACTGACAGAGAGCAGATTTAAGCTAGGTATGAGGAAAATCTTCCTCACAGTACGGGTGGCCAAAATTTGGAATGGGCTTCCAAGGGAGGCGGTGCTCTCCCCTATCTTGGGGGTCTTTAAGAGAAGGCTGGTTAGGCATCTGGCTGGGGTCATCTGACCCCAGCACTCTTTCCTGCCTAGGCAGGGAGTCAGGCTCAATGATCTGTTGAGGTCCCTTCCGACCCTAGCATCTATGAAATCCACCCTAGGATCCTTTTGACCTTCATAAAGAAGTCCAAAAGCTTAACATAGTGGTAATCAACCAGGTTGTGGCTAGAGATGCCTTCTTCCTGCAGCCTTTCCTGATCCAACCCCACACACTTCTGGAGGCATGCCGGGCAGGTGGAACTATTTTCTGAGAAGAGACTGTGGGATCAAACCCGGAAGGGCTGTGGCAAGAGTGCATGCTCCAGTGGAAACCCTTTGCACTGCCTGGCCACAGGACTGCTCTTGCTGCTAAGGCATGGACTCTGTGGTGGTGGGAAGTGATTTTGGCACCCTACTTAACTTGGCACCTGGGATTAGTGCCCCACTCAGACACTCCTAGGTTTGCTACTGACTAGTAATGTAAAACAAACCAACAGCACAGGAGTTCTTCATTCTCTAAAATAAGTATGTTTAACCATCTCTTTAAAGGCTGCTCTTTCGACAGACATTATAAAAAGGCCTTACACTGTACTTATGAAACTTTGTTTCTTCTAGATTTTTGGTTATTCTCTACTTACCTTATTTCCAAACATAAATCACTGTGTGCACAACCATTTTCCAATTTT